GCCCAGCAGGCCAACTCTGGGGTTAGCGTGCCACCACACTCCAGCCTGGGTGACAGAGTGAGACTCCAACTCAAAAAAACAAAAACAAAAACAAAAACTGACTTTTCTCTCCAGCAGGCCTGGGACCCTAACCACCAGGCTGAGTTCCAAGGAGCTGATCACCCTAGAAAACTCACTGCATATGGCTGGACAGTTACCAGCCAGCCTGATAGCAAACTGGATTGTGTATAGGCTCCAACTAGCTGCACAGGCTGGGGGCCACCTCGTGTCCCTCTGGGCCTGAGTGTTCTCATTTGGGTTGGAGTGGCTCCTCCCTAAGGATCCTTTCAGATTAAATGCACAATATTTCTGTGACTGTTGTTAAAGAATAACCGAACTCAATTGTCTGGGACAGAACCTTTGTGGGTGATGTAATTTATGATTCTCTTCGGGGGAGAATTAGCATTCTGATAACTGCTCAGTCGATGATCTGATCAATTTTAAAGAGATAAAGACTTGTTCTGGGAATCCACCCACAGACTCAACCAGCTGTCCATCCAGTCTAATGTCCTTTAGTGAGGACATTAGACTGTATCTGGCATAACAATGACAACCATTGTTTTTTTCCTATAAAATACCCCTATTAAGAGTAATTTCTGAATTAGCTTGCTGAATTTTTTTTTTCTAGCAGGATGATGATAAAATTTGGAAAGATGCTTATAATTACAGAAAAGTTTTCTTTAGCACTATTCAGGAGATACTAGGGAAGGGGGTAAAGGTTTTTGAATGGGGGGTGATATGTCCAGAGCTAAGTCTTAGAATCTAAGGAGAGACATGGGGAAGTGAAGTGGGAAGCCAGGGTAAGGGAGGCCCCAGGGAGGAGAGCAGGTAGTAAGCTGTGGCTATGGTGCAAAACTGAGAAGAGATGGCTTTTCTTTTCTTTTTTCTTTCTTTCTTTCTTTTTGAGTCAGATTTTCACACTGCTGTCCAGGCTGGAGTGCAGTGGCAAAATCACAGCTCACTGTGGCCTCGACCTCTTGGACTCAAGTGATCTTTCCACCTCATCCTCCCAAGTAGCTGAGACTACAGGCATGCACCACCACAACCAGCTAATTTGCTGGGGGAGGCGAGGTCCCACTATGTCGCCCAGGGTGGTCTCAAACTCCTGGGCTCAAGCAGTCCTCCCGCTTCAGCCTCCCAAAGTGCTGGGATTACAGGTGTGAGTCACTATACCCAGCCAAGAAGATGGTGGCTTCAAGTATGGTGGGGCAGAGGCCTGGAGAGGCCAGCATGGGTGAACAGCCATGGTAAGGTTGAATCAGGCTCAGAAACTGCTCAGACCCATGTGGGGGTCTGGGGAACAGAGGAGTCAGAAATGGTGCTAAGTCTTTAGGCCTAGAGTCTAGAAGAACAGCAGGCCAGGGAAGTTAGGAGAAGGAACTAGCTTAGGGAAGTTATGAGTATGGTTTTGTTCTTACTCATTGATTTCATGGGGAAGTATACTTGGATGAGGTATTTGGGGCAAGAAACCCTTGCAGCAAGATGGAGAGATGGTCCCAAGCCATGCACCCACCATGCTGTCTGAAGGTTTCGCTCACCATGGTTTGACATGTAGAGTAGTCACTGCAAACAAAACATCCCTGTTCTGATCCAGGGTACCTCTTAAGCCAAGGGTGACCACAGTAGCCCACTCTGCCTTTCATAAGAAGAAGTGTTCTCTGAGGGCAGTTGGTCACCAAAAGTTACAAATGAGGGCAAGGACTACCTCTCACCCATCTTGGTGTACCTAGAGCACAAGTTATGGTACCCAAGGAGTGACCTCCATGATGTACGTGTTTATTACATAAGACTAAAATGGGGACATGGAGCACTGGATGGCAGAAAAGATGGGTCTATGGTTGCTTTTTGCCAGTCTCTCTGTGTATCACTTACTTATATATTATCTAGTAGCCCAGAGATTAGCAATAAGTGATAATTATAGAATAACAATGGCAATGACATTGCAAAGTCAGTGTGGGAAGATCTGATCACATTAAATACAGAAATGACATTGCCACCAGGATTAATAAGTTATACAAGAGAAATAAGACGAGCATGGGATTCAGAAGGCCAGACACTGAGTTCTTACCCAGTGCTGTTAGACCCCTTCATTCCCCACTAATAAATGAGTAAAAACAGTGTTGCTTCCAAGGGGAGAGCTAGGCTGCAGCCTTTACAGCAAGACAGGTGGGAGGAATCAACACTAGAACAATCTGAGAATTTTTATGATTCATAGGCTACAATTCTTTTTTTCTCTTTGCTGAGGTGTTTGAAGAATTAAGGTTGCACCTACTGGCAAGAGATTGCCTTTATCTGTTAAGTCTATTAATTGTCTACTCCTAAGAGGTTTGCAATTATGCTACAATCAGCCCCTTTCACACTGGATCTTTCTCTGAGAATTCACTGGGGTCTTATGAATGAACTGAGCTTATCATCTTGTTGACCCATGAACCATTCCAGCAGGAAGCGATGGGCCATTTGGAAAAGACAAGAGATAGACCAGGCATCCTGAGAAGAAAAAAGGTGGGTTTCTCTTGCAGGTCAAAGTCGGCTCAAACCAGAGCAGGTCAAGCACACATCCAGTTTCATTTAAATTAAGGTTATGTCAAAGAACCTTTGGAAGTCCCAGGCCTGCTAGCTCTGAACACTTTCTCTCTGTAAGAACCATCCTTTTTGTGTTGTTTATTTTTCTGGGAAAAGATAATAGATTTTTTTTTTTTTTTTTTGAGGTGGTGTCTCACATGGCATGATCAAAGCTCACTGCAGCCTCCACCTCCTGGGCTCAGGCAATCCTTCTGCCTCAGCCTTCCAAGTAACTGGAACTACAAGTGTGCACCACCATGCCTGGTTAACTTTTTTTTTCCATAGAGACAAATTCTAGCTATATTGCCCAGGCTGGTCTTGAACTCCTGGGCACAAGCAATCCTCCTGCCTTGCTCTTCCAAAGTGCTGGGATTACAGGTATGAGCCACCACATTTGGCCAAAATATTAGATGTTAAAAGGACATTTCAGCAGATTTAAGTGTTCTCAGGAAAGTGAGATGTTACTCAATTAAAAAGGTACCTTGCATTCATGGAAGAGAGTTAAATGTTGATTTGATTTTTAGCCCTACTTTTCAAAAAGTGAACTTGAGGAGGATTTTAGAGAACCATTTTTGAAAGATTAAAATTAGAAACCACAATTTCAACTTCTTCTACAATTATATTGCAGAAAAATTGTTTATTTTCCTGGCGTACGAGGGAGCTGAATTTCCTCAGTTTTATTTTCCTCTAACGTCTGATTTACTGGGTGAGAAATGGATCAGACTAAGGAATAACATAAAATACAAAGAATATACTTGGTTTAAAAAAGAAAACCAGAATAAACAGAGAGACTGTTAATGTTCGCTGCTCTTGGTAAACAGCTTCTGAGGAGGTTTTGGAGGCAAAAAAACAAAAACAACACACAACAACAAAAAAAACCAACTCTGTCCCCTCATTTCTGCCTGTAATTTCAATTCAGTGAAACCACTAAATTGCTTCAGGATAACAGGTGCAAGTGTGTTTGCCTTTGGGTGTTCCAACAACTTTAGCAATTTACTCAACACGGAGCATGACTTTTGCATGCATGTTAGAGGGGGCTGCCGGAGAGTGGCTGAGTGGTAGGGTTCCGTGTGAAACCTGGCAGACCTTACTGTGGTGACAGTTCCCCATCGCTGCCATGCTGTGCTGCAGATCATGGCTTTTTTGGTACAGCTGATAGCTCAGGGCCATGATATACCAGGTCCCACCATCTGTATGTCAACAACAGAAGAATACCTGCCTGTCCCCACTCCTTTTAACATCTGTGGAGCCTCTTTAAAGAATCCAATAAATGTAATCAAAGACCAAACAATCAAACACCATAAATAATTCTGCCGAGAAACTGGAGAGGCCTTGGCAACGCGTGCTCTCCCACTGTCTTCCCTGAGAGCTTGCTCGCCGCTCTCTCTGTCATTCTCTCTCTCTCTCTCTTTTTCTTCTCCCTTCCTGCCTTTGTCTCTATTTCTAATGCATTTTTGCTGCCTTGCAACATTAATCACCGAATATTTTCTCTCGCTTTCGAAAACCCAAATCAGAACTTGATTGCTCACAAATCCCTGAACCCACTTCAGTCCTAAATGCAAAACACTTACCATGGAGGCCGAGACCCCAGCAAGGAGCTCTGATTCTGTCTCAAAAAGAAGAGAGTCTTGCGGGAAATCCTATTTACTGACCTTCCTTCAGGTTGCAGTTCTAAAGAATTCTCCATAAAAGCTGTCACTAAATACACAGTTCCAGTTTTGCTCATTTGGCCTGCGTGATCTTGGAAGATTCATTTCTGCCTCTTCTAAATAGGCCTTTTCTTCTCTGACAATTCTGTGGGCTGTCAGACTTTTAGCAGCTAAATGATCTACCCATTCCTGAATATTTTCAGTTCTTCATCCTGCTTCACCATTTTCATATGGGTTCAAGCGTTTGGAAACGTTACCCAGAAAGTCCAAAAGGGGAAAATTGGATGATGATGTTTTGATGAACAATACCATTTAGGAATGTGGGCTTTGCTGATCATTGTAAATGATTTTTCAAAAAGGATTAGAGTTAGATACATTTTCAGTATAGTAATAAGAGTCATGAAAATATCTGAGCATAAACAAAAACACTGCCTCGTGCTGTGTGATATATTTGATACCATGAGGCAAGGGGTGGGGGGGGCAGGTTATGGCCTTGTATGGCATTTTTGATTATCAGAAAAATTATTTGGTTGCCTGAACCATGCACAGTGATTTAATAGAAGACAGGAACCTGGCGAGTTAAGACACCGCTGTGTCCATTTTTTGGAGGCTGTTTGCCCATGTGTGGGGCTCTTTCAACATCCATTTAAAAACGCGTTCCCAACCCACACCATGTGACTAGTTTCTTTCTGATTGGCTTCTGCTTTGGCCTTAAGTCCTCCATTAAGATGTGGACGTGTGACATCTTACCCGTTTGGTGAGCTGAGTGTCCATCATGAAGTTATGGACATGCTTCTCCGCTTTGGTGAGTTCCAGCTTTCGGGCCACCACGGCCACCACAAGGGCAGTGCAGCCCGCACCCTGTGGGGGGACATCAGGAGAACCAGAGGGGACAGAACACGTCATTAAGAGGCAAGGCAAAAGACTCAGCGTGCCCCCTGCCCACTGTGGGGATTTCCTGAGTGTGGAGTGAGGACTCAAGCTCTCTGATTGGTCAAGACCAACCCATAAAACCTGTCAGGACCACGACGCCCCCATCCTCGAAGCGGTCTGCAAGGCCTTTTGGGTTGTGCCCTATAGCTGACCTCTGGGGCATGGAGTCACTGTGAGCTGGCTGGCACTACATAGAGCAGGATGCTGGATGGAGCTGAGGCTTTGGGGATTTGAACCAGTGGGTAACGCCTGCTCGGCAGTTAGGCTGTGTGGTGCAGTGGGAGATGAAGGGTCCAGCGCTGACTGAGGGTCTCTCCCTCGTGCATGTCCCAGCCCCCGCTGCCAGCTCCAGGCCAGTGGGCCCAGGAGGAAAGAAGGCTGGGCATCAGCTGGAGGATGGATGGAACACCTGTTGGGGCTGGGAGTTCTCTTGAAAATAACCTACTGAAGAGGCAACGCCTTGGCCCCAGAGACCGTTTCCCAGAAAGAACACTGCTTGGCATGAGCGTGTGCACTCAGTGACAGTGTTGTTCCATAGTCGGGTCTTTTTACCTGAAGGTCCGGGCTACAACTCAGCACAAGGAATTGGTTCTTTCATGCTTTCACTAAGAGGCTCACGAATTCACGAGCATGCAGAGTTTAAAGACAACAACACTTCTGCCTAAAAACAGGATTTCAAGTGGACCCTCAGAAGAGCCTCAGATTTTCCAGAATAGTGTTGCTAGTCTGCCCGGGTACATCCATCCCAGTGGGAGCACGGGGGAGAGAAGCAGGTTTTGCTGATCCCTGAGGATGGTCAGACTGACTTTCTCTCCTAATCCTTTGGGTGCACGCGTGACTGTCTGGACAGTCCTTGACTTCTTACTGTACTCTGGCCCTGTGCCACCTCACCCCCCTGCTCATGGCAAGTGATGGTGAGTTTACTGAAGCCAATGATCTGATCCTGTAGGTGCAAAATGGTAATTCTAGTTGCCACAGGGCCCAGTTTGACAGCCTGAGGCCCTAGGATGGAAGGAATCCATCAGTAACGTTTTTTGGCTCATTGGATCTTGCAGAATATGTGAAAAGAGGAAAAGGTACCATAATCCATAACTGAGTTGGGAGGGGCGCAGATGGGTGGGTCTATTCCCTGCTCCTGTATCATCTTTCTCTGTTTTCCCATGGCTGACAAAGGCTAGCGTGTGGGAGGTTTCAGCGTGGCTGAAGTCGACAGTACTTTCTCCTAGTTTCTCACAGGGGTTCCCATTAAAACAATCTAGTGTTTCTCACCATCTTGGTCAGCCTCCCAGTTCTAGCACAACAAAGTGAAAAGAACTGAGTCTGTGTGAACTTTCCTATTCTGACCTCATTTTCTCCTCTTTTGTTCAGGAACGGCTGTGTTTTTCAGCTTCTGTGACTTGCAAGAGACTCTGTGCCCAATTTTCAAAGGATATGGACAGTTGGACAGCCTGGTCTGTAGCTGTAATCAATTTTGCCAGGCCTCCAAAAGCAAAAAATAGCTTAAAAGAAGCTGTCCTAGAGAGAAGATGTGCTCTCTTTCCCCCCAACCAGACCGAGTACCATCCCTCTCCTTTATATGGCATTCCAAAAGTACTTTGGGCTGAAAGCCCAAAAAAGAGGGATATATCATAGAGTTAAAAATGGAACGTCAGATGGAGAGGGTTCTCCCCAGGCTCCATTCTCCCTGGTCTCCCTGGGTTCAGGCAAAACTCGATTTAAATCATCCCTAAATCTGGGGGGACAATAAGCCTGAAGATGGAGTCTCTCCGGACCATACCACTTAGGGAATTTAATCAAAACAATCGATCACCCACCATCCCAAATATCCAGGGTCTAGCTGAAAGGCCCACAGTCCTTACCATGGCTCACAGTCTAACTGGTTAAACGCAGGGGGCTTTTAATTAGAAGCTAGAGGTATCTTATCTAAGGAACCATCTGTCTTACATAATTACGATAAATTTCTGTATGGAGGCAGAAGGGTGGACTAGATGACATTTCCCAGTTTCTTTCAACTTACAGATATCAAGGCTCCCTTTGGCTATTTCTCTGGAGGATGCTGCATTCTTAACCTTTCACTCCAACTGGACTAGATAGTCTCAACTTCATCCTTCTTTTAGATCATCCATTGTCCAGATGTCATGAGGAAAGTCACCAATAATGAAACCTAACCTGGTCATTTCCATTAAGAGGCAACCTCATAAAGATGGGGTCAGACATCAGCGACCTTCAGAAGCTCATGGGCAGAATGCTCAAATTGAGAAGACTGACCCTCAGCAGACTGTGTGGGGTGGGGGAAGGGACAGGAAGGGGAAGAGATGACAAGAGAGAAGTGGGAAGGCAAGAGAGAGGAGGGTGCAGGGTGATACAGCTGGAGCAGAGAATGAGATGGAGAGTCCTGCACGCTCAGAGGGGACAGAGGAGGGAAAGGGAAAGGAAGAAGCTAAGGGATGAGAAAAAAGGATGGGCTGACGGGATTGAGAGAGGAAGGAAAGAAGAACAAGGAGCTCAAGACTTGAGCCAGAAGTTTCTGGTCAGTTTTGGCTCCTGAGAGGATGTGAGGGAAGAACCATGGGATCCCCACCACCCTGTTGTGTTCAGCTTTTAGTGTATAAGGCTCGTCTATCACCTGGGTCCCTTTGGGGATAATGGACGTTTTTACTCAGATGAGTTCATTAGTCTGGCAGGGCCACAGTAGCAGCCCGGGTTGCCCATGTGATGTGGCAGGGGTGCAGATTGGTGTGAAGAGACACATCGCCCAGGGCCTGACTAACCGTGGTGGGTGTGGTGAGCTCCTATTGTCCTAGCAAGGAATCTTAGAAATGGCTGGTGGGCAGAAGGCGGCGTGTGAGGAGAGGTGGAGCAGGATTTCCAAGCGGTCAGAATGGGGGCCACATCCATGACCCAGTCTTTCACCTTCAGATGTGCCAGGTCTAGAAGCAAAGGGGATACCAACTGGAGTCCCAGGGCCCACTCTGCCCAACCTCTGCTTCCATGGGGTGAGGGAGGGGGAGGGTTCACACCCTGATGAGGTCAGACATAGTGAGCAGGGAGCACGGAAAGCCCAGACAGGAAGGGTGGCTGGAATGGGGCGTGCCCAACTCATCTATAGATTTGGACCCAAATCTGGACCAAGACTCCTCCACACCAGTCCTCCCACTTCTTGTTTCCAAGAAACATTTTCCAGCTGGAAAACCCTAGAAGCTGGAAAAACAAGTATCCCAAGGGGAAAAGTATGAGGTGTTCTTAACTAAAGAAGCATGAAATAAAATAAAACATAAATGAAAGTGACAAATGGAGGAGGGAAGCCTGGAGGATTTACAGTTGGATTCTGTTTCTGCAACAGATTCCATGTAACAACTAAAATAACATCAATTGGTTTGAAACCAAGGTGTTTCGGGAGAAGCTCATCTTCTAAAACTGACATTAAGCAGATGTCTTGCGGAGTCCTCTTCTTGCCTCCTCCCCAAATGACTCAATTTGTGCTACCTTTCACTTCACCATCGCTTTCCCTCTGCTGTTCAGAGGGTTCTCTCAGGAGGCCATTGGGGAAAACTCATGTTCCAACAGACATCCGGGAAGCTTTTGCTTATTTGTCCATCACTCATGATGGGTCCACAGGGTGAGTTCAGCTTTTCTCTTATGTTTATTTTAGAGTCCTGGTCACACTCTGTTGCCCAGGCTGGAGTGCAGTGGCATGATCATGGCTCACTGCAGCCTCGACCTCCTGGGCTCAGGTGATCCTTTCGCCTCAGTATCCTGGGTAGCTGGAACTACAGGTGTGTGCCACTACACCCGGCTAATTTTTTTGGTTTTTTGCAAAGACAAGTTTTTGCTTTGTTGTCCAGGATGTTCTCAAATTCCTGGCCTCAGGCGATCCTCCCGACTCGACCTCCCAAAGTGCTGGGATTACAGGTGTGAGCCACCTCGCTGGGCCCCAGTCCTGTTTTAGAAAGAGCTTTTGTTAACTACTGAAACAAAGTTAACGACCAAGCAGATGTGAGACCCCAGGTATCTTCCAGGGACCAAACATTTGGTAAAACCAAAAGGCCAGCATTGCACATCTTTAAGTTTCATTGTCACCTCCAATTCCGGATCCTAAATATTGACAGCTTTCTCTCTACTGTTGTAACTGCTACCATGAAAATTCCTTCTGGAAAGAAGCTGGACTTTGATAGATCTGCTTTTAAGGGTGAAATCTCTCTCACACACCAGGTCTGTGCCAGCAGTGTCAAGTTGTTCAGACAATTATATACCCTGCTTAATGGTTGCTAATTACACTGTTACTGGGATTGCTCAGCGAAAACAATGATTAAGACTATTTGTAGGCCGCACACACAATTCCTTCATTTCCCTTCCCAGGCAGGCCTTGCCTTGGCCTTCATGGTGTCCATGGCAACCAAACAGGAAGCCCTACCTTTAGTAAAGGCGCTTGCAATAATAATCGGGAGCTATACATAGTGCTGGGAGGTTGGGAGGAGGGGGGAGAGGATCCAAAGCAACGTGAAGCCCTTGAAAGGAGTGACTCAGCTAGAAAAATCACTCGTTAGAAAAACGCCACTGGGCTCCTCTCCGGGGCTGACCCCAGTGTGAGGCAATTGACTTTAATTTGGGTAAAAACCCCAACCATGAATACAGGAAACCTCCCTGCTCCCGTATATAGAAAGGTATATATTTATGCAGCAGGGTTTGGGGCAAAAAGGAAAAGGTGAAAGGCATGTGCTTTATCTTTAAGATGGAAGGTGGGTATAGGTTCCCTTCTCTGTTCTACTTTGATCGTGCCTCAATCCACAAGAAACAAAACACTTCTTTCCAAGGAGCACCATAGACCCGGGCAGCAGCAAAAGAGGGTGCAGACAGGCCAGGCAACCGGCTGAGGACCACATCCCAAGAAGAAGCAGGGATGGGGGGCAAGGAGATCCTGCCTGATCCACTCAGCTTTGCCAGAGCAGAAGCCAGGAGATGCAGAGTCAAGGAGCCAGGAAACCAGGTCCTTATGGGGCACAGCTTCTTCTTAGATGGGGCACAGCTCTGTGCTGAGAGAGAGAATGGCCGATGTTTAAAAATAACAGAGAAGGCCCTCAGCGGGGCCTGTCCACCTATGGGCAGCCTGATGGTGACGGCCCTGGCTGAGCGTCAGTTCTGAGGCATGGAGCCCACACCCCAGGAGCAGCTCTAAGAAGGAACGCTTTGGCCTTCAGGTGGCATTTCATTCCTTGCTGGTAGGAAGAATCTTTCCCCGGTTTCCTCTGACAGTTGGCGTGGTGCCAGACAGACTCCTGCTGACTGATGGGAGGTGTTTGTTCTAAAGCCTTGCACTTACCGTGATTTATCCCAACCCTGGTGCTAAGCCTTTTGTCACCAACTGCTGTTGCAGGACCTGCCTGCTAATGGGGACCTGCCTTGAATTTGAGTCAGAAAAGGGGAGAGAGCTGGCTTCCTCCTGCTCACTGGGTCCACTGCCCCAGGCCTCTAACCCCAGGGCCGCCTCGACTCTGAGTGACCCAAGTCTGGCCACCTTGTGCACCAAGACCAGCCCCAGGAAGCCAACAGACTAAGTCGAGTGAGGAGTGGGGGTAGCCCCGGCCCCGGTGAGGGGAAGAGATGTGCCCTCCCCCTTTCTACTGCAGAAAGGGGTCATTTCCCTTTCAGAAAGACTTCATCTCTCCTGGGAGCAATGGGGTCCTGAGTGACATCTGGGGGAGAGTTGCAAGGAATGACCCCCATTGAACATGCTGGGGACACAGGAGGAGGGCTGCAACACCCAACCATAGGGACCAGAGCCACCCCACAGGCACTCTGTCCACCCTCACCCTGCCACCACCCCTTCACCACCAAGGCTCAGTTGAGCTTTCCCCTTGGAGCCACAGTTTCCTCTTCTGAAAAAAGGGCCCTACCCCGCTCTGTCACTGCTCTAAGATTCTAGGACAAAAGGCAAAGAGCACCGGCTACCTGTCCTGGACCTGAAACGCAGCTAGGCCAAGGGAACGCCTCACCAACTTACAAGTGGGGAGCTGTCAAGGTTGGGGACACTGAGGATGCCGCCAACACTGACCGCATGGATGGCTGCTACTGTTTACAAAGCACGTGAACATGAATCATTGCCTTTGGTTCTCATACCAGCAGGCTCTTCATCTCCACTCTAGGATGGTGAATGCTGGGGTCCAACAGGCTGTGTGTCTTGCTCAGGGTCCACAGTGAGTGGAAATTCGGACCCTACTTCCCTCCCGTACACTGCAATGGCCAGGTGACAGACAGGCGTGTGTGCCTTTGAGAGTGTGTGTCAGGTGGGGGCGACAGGGCAGAAATGTGCCTTGAAAAGCCATGACACATCTGCAGGGCACCTGGGGATGGGACCACAGTCGTGCCAGATGCCAGTGCTGCAAAGAACTCTCTCTCACAAAGGAGCCTGGCACCTCAATTTGCAGAAGTAGAGGCCAAAGCCTAGAAGAGGACACAGGTTGCTGAAGGTCAGGTCAGAGCCTCTTCCCTAGTCCCTACCTCCATGTTTTCCAGCTCAATATTTTCAAAAATAGTGCCAAGGCCAGGCATGGTGGCTCACACCTGTAATCCCAGCACTTTGGGAGGCCAAGGTGGGAGGATCGCTTGAGCCCAGGAGTTCAAGATCAGCCTGAGCACAGTGAGACCTCATCTCCACAAAAATTAGCTGGATGTCTCCACAAAAATTAGCTGGATGTCTCCATAAAAAATTAGCCAGGTGTGATGGTACCAGCTGCTCGAGAGGCTGAGGCAGAAGGATCATGTGAGCCCAGGAGGTCGAGGCTACTGTGAGCAGGGATAGCAACGCTGCACTCCAGCCTGGACAGCAGAGTGAGATCCTGACTCAAAAAGAAAAAAAAATGGTGCCAAGGTCTGTGGGACCCAGGGGACAGGAAGGAGAACAGGAAACTGCAGCCCTGATGCTCCCTGGAGGTGAGCAAACTGGAGGCTAGGTACTGATGGGACAGGGAGCAGAGGGTCAGACTAGCGACCAGCTTCACCCAGCCCACTTTTTTGGGGGGTGGGGTTGCTGTGAATAGACCATTAACTGTCAGGAACCAGAGTCCTTCCTACTTTAGAAAAGTCATCTGAAAAGTAAGAAAATGTTGCCGGGTTCACATCTGCCTTTCCACACGCCGGGGACCAGGCACACAGGCCTGCTAGCTAGCCACTGCCCCCCACGCCCCGCTAGGAAGGCCCCTCTGTGCTGTGACAAGGGGTCTGCTCTTTGCACCTTCCGGGGGACAGGGGAATGGGCGGAGGCGGGTACTCACCATGATGCCAGTGAGGAGACAGACACCTTTCCCACAGTATGTGTGGGGCACCATGTCCCCATAACCAATGGAAAGGAATGTGATGGAGATGAGCCACATTGCACCCAGAAAGTTACTAGTTACGTCCTGCTGGTCATGGTACCTGCCAAGGGGGAGACAGGAGTTAGTCATTGGAACGGCCATTCCAGGAGTAAAGACTGTGGACAAACCTAGAAGGAAAAGGGAAGCAAGATATTTTGTACAGGAGGAGACAGCAGCGATAGTGGCACACGCAGGTCTCTTTAGTCATTCGAAGGGTCAGTGACTGTGTTCACCCAGGTCCTGCCTGCAGTACCCCCGGCCCCCGGGACCCCACCATGAGCTCGGACCCAGGGGTAAAACGTTTTGCCATGATTTGCTCCATATTGTAGACATCCTCTCAGTGTTGGTAAGATAGCTTTGGATGAAATCACACAGTAATAAAATTTAATTTTTCCTTCTAAGCTGACAGTCTAAATGTATGTGGATGTGATTAATCTGAAATCACAAGCTCCTGTACAGCGAAAATGTCAAAAAAATTACCAAACACATTCAGTGATTGTCTCTAAGAAAGTTGATGGATCCCCAAGACTGGGGTCTCCCAGATGCCTAGAGGGAGGCTGTGGTGGCCAAGACTCTCTGGGAGCTGCCTCTAGTTGGGGACACTGGGGTGTCCACAGAGGCACAGCCTCCCCGTCTCAGTTGGACAGGGGCTTGCGGCTGTCCTGCCCTGGGGGGACCCAGCTGGAAACACAATCACTACCATTCCCTCTTCCTGGATGCCCATCCCATCCCATCCGTCTCCTCCCTCCCGTTAGCCCCAAACACCAAGGCCTGCTGCATGCCAGGCTCCATGCCAAAGACTGAAACATGAAATTGAACACGACACAGCCCCTGCTCTCAGGGACTCCAGCCCAGGAGAGTGACTTGCCAAGGATGCAGACATCTGCAGGACAGTGCAAGACAGGGGTGGACGAGGCGCCTTGGGAGACAAAGAGAAAGGGCACTGACCCTGAACTAAACACACATGGGTTAGTCAGAGAAGGTGCCGTGGAGGAGCAAGGCTTGAATGTTCCAGGCAGGCTGGGGGAAGGGTGCTCCAGGCGGAGAGGCCCTAACAGAAGCCCAGGGCTCGACACATGGTACAGCAGGGTGGCGGGGCTGCAGCCTGGGTGGCAGGGCTGGGAAGGGGAGCCTTTTTCAAAAGTTTCTCTAAAAGGATCAACTTGAATGACACACAATGGACTCCGCATTTTATCCTGTAGGGGTTTCACTCCTTGAAAAAAATCTCCCAGTTAGACACTTGGAGGTCACTGAATGGGGAAGTTGAGACAGGGATCAATCAGCTTGGTTGGGCAGAGCAGAAAGCCACTTAGGAACCATAATTCACAGAAGTGAGTTGCCAACAAAGCATCCATAAATGAACGCACACAATGTGCCTGGGACAGGCAATGAGGCCTGGCCCACAGAGACCCTCTAGAAGGACCAGCTGGCATCATCAGTGGTCTCCATGCCCACACAGGGTCTATGCCCAATGAGTGATGGGCACATGCTGCTTTTCCTCCCTTCACACCCCCCTAGCTGAGGTGTGCAGGGAGGGCTACAGGTACTGGTACCTCTAGAGATGGGCTTGGAAGAAGGCAGAAGCTCTGCTAGTCAAAAAGGAGGCAGGAGACCATTCAAGTCAGGGAGTCCTAAGAGTGCCACACGGTGGATACCATTTATTGAGCACCTACTGTGTGCTTGACATTTGGGATACAAACATTCTAATTCTCACAACATCCTATAAAGTATTTTACAGGTCAGCAACTGGAAGCACAGAGATGCTGGATGATTTGCCCAAGGACACACAGGAAATAACTGAAGCCAAGCCCATGATCTTTGTGCTGCTCTACTCAGCATCTGAGAGGCAAGAGTGACTGGTGTGTGTCTTAGGGCAGTGGTCCCCAACTCCCCGGGCCAGGGACTGGTACTGGTCCGTGGCCAGTTAGAACTGGGCTGCACAGTAGGAGGTGAGCAGAGAGCAAGCAAGTGAAACTTCATCTGTACTTACAGCCACTCCCCATTGCTCACATTACTGCTTGAGCTCTGCCTTCTGTCAGATCAGCGGCAGCATTCGATTCTTATAGGAACCCGAACCCTATTGTGAACTGTGTATGTGAGGGATCTAGATTGTGTGTACCCGAGGGTCTAAGTTGGGTACCACCAGCCTATGCTACTCAAAGACAGCCAGAGGAGCAAACACTGGAGAAGCAAGGCCACCAGAAGAACAGCCTGCCAGGAGGACCTTGGGTAGCAACAGGCCACCCCCAAGGGAGTGAGTGATGTAAGCAGGAGAGGGCAGGTAAGACCAACTTAGCAGCAGAGCTTTGGGGAGGGGGTGTCTGCTCTTCAGATGTCTCCAGAAGTGCCAGGCACCCATGCCTTGTTCAGACAGCTATGAAAAGGCTAATATCTCCCCCTCTGGTCACTGGTAAAGGACTCAAGTTGACACTGGACAGCCCCCACTGATGTGCTCACTGAGACCTACTAGGGCCGGGCCCAGGTGGGTGATAAAGGCCCTGGCCTGCCATCTCCCTCCCAGTTCTGCACACCCACCTCTCCCCTGGCCATCCCACCTCTGGGTTCCATCTTGCCAAATATCCTGCTCAACACCTGCAGACCATTCTTGCCTGCAAGCCACACCATCTTGTCAGCCCTCTGCTCAAGATCCTAGACTCTCTTCCAAGGCCTCTAAGAACAAATTCGAACTGTATACCCTAGAATTCCAGGCTGGGCCGGGCTTGGTGGCTCAACCTGCAATTCCAGCATTTTGGGAGGCCAAGGCGAGTGGATTGCCTGAGCCTGCGGGTTCGAGACCAGCCTGGGCAACTTGGCAAGACCTCGTTTCTACAATAAATCAAAAATTAGCTGGGCGTGGTAGCGCGTGCCTATAGTTCCAGGCTGAGGCGGAAGGATCGCTGGAGTCCAGCAGGTTGAGGCTGCAGTGGCCAGGAGTGTGCCACTGCATTCCAGTCTGGGGAACAGAGTGAGACTCCAACTCAAAAAAAAAAAAAAAAAAAAATTCCAGGCCGTCCCAAATCTGACCCTAGGCTCCAAAGCCACACACCACCTGTTCCTGGAGCCTAGGTAGCTGCTTCTCACTAAAACTTCCTCATCATTTCCCAAGACAGCAGTCTCCAACGTTTTTGGCATCAGGGATCAATTTCGTGGAAGACAATTTTTACATGGGTGGGGGCAGGGGGACAGTTTTGGGATGATTCAGGTGCACAATATTTATTGTGCACTTTATTTCTACTATTATTTCCATTGCAGTGTATGATGAAATAATTATATAACTCATCATTTAAAAAAGACACAGATGGAAGTGGTAAATAAAATACTGGGTAGGCCATACATGGACTAAAATAAGTGTCAGATTCTGTCTTAGGGTCTGCCCTTGCCCCTGACCCAGGACATCAGCCCCCTCTCACTTCTGGCCTGCTTGCTCTACCCTGCCACGCCCTCAGGCTGACACAGCCCCCTCCGCTCCTGGCATGCAGCTCTCTGGCTGGTGGAATGGTGGCAGACCCTGGCTCTCAGGCCCTATGCTGAGATAGTGGTGGTGGAAAACCAGACTTCAGCATCAGTGAAGCAGCCAGACTCAGTGACTGCAGGAGGGACACAAGGGAAGAGACTTCAAGGCAGCTCCACACCACAGCTGGCAACATATAAACAAATGTGGTAGAGTCGGAGCCAGAGTCATCAGTTCATCAAAAGAGTATTCCCTGGAAGAACAAGTCTTGGGTCAGGTCTGAGGACAGTGAGGTTGAGGCAGTTTGGTAGTGGGGGGTGAGCTGAGCCACAGGCTGGGCTCACCTGGCTCCCAGCTCCGCTTCCACTCTGGCTTTGGGCAAGTGACTTAACTCTTGTGACTCAGTTTCCCTATCTGCTGATGGGTGGATTAAGTAAAATAACCCACAAGCAATACTAATATAGTGTTTGGCCCAGAGTAAGTGCTCACTAAATGTCAGCAATGATTATGGTTGTGGAGAGGGTGCAGGTGTTATCCATCTGAGAAACAATATGCAGAAAAATACAGAGTCCAGGTTTACAAGTGCAGTGGGAACAGAGTCCCCACAGGGACATGATGAGGCATTCCTGAAGATGTCTTGAGGTGTGGGCTGGAGAAAGGGTTGATACGGGTCAAAATAAATCTACCGTACATTCTTGAGCAAGGAATGGCCATAAAGACACAGCTGAGAATGATTCTTCTACATGCAAGACACGTTAAAGAGGTCAGACCCCAGACAGAGAGAACTGCTGGAAGCTTTGCAGGTACCCAAAGAGACGCCATGGGGAGCCTTGAATATGAAACCACGAGGTTCGGAATGAAATTGCACTCTGTCCTCTGTACACGTAACTGGTTTTGCTCTGCCCATGTGTCTCCATAGTCCTTCTTTCCCTGCGAACTCTGAAGATCAGTCTTGTGTTCCCTGGCTGCTTGGCTACCCTCAGGATCATAGACCATCCTGTTCATATGTGGGTGGATCCAAGGCAAAGACTGGAGATTGAAGTGGAATTCAGTATAAAGCAACAGATAGTGTCTCTCTTTTTAAAGCTGATGCCTGTTTTCCTCCTTTATCGGGGGGTGTGAATTTCCTTTATGTTCTGATAGGTTTCTTTTCCATTCAACATATGAAATCCCATGGGGCTAACTGTGTGTGCTGAGGAGAGGAGCTGTCATTCACTTATTTTTGGTCAGATTTCAATGTTCTCTCCTCTGGTGGGAGCTGGAGAAGACGCCAAGATGAATTGGGCCACCCTGCTCTCCAGGGGTTTGGAGCATCGTCATGGAGATAAGACATGCATGCAACTCACCGAGCAGGAAGTGATGATCAAGAAAGCTGGGTTGGTGATTCAGGACTGTGGGAGGAGAGGGGAGGAAGGAAAGGTTTCTAAACCTATTCACAATTTAAGAGTGGTTTACACATGTCACAAATTCACGTACTAATCTCGTGCTATTTATTGCAATAGAGATTTTTTATGGGGGGGGAATAGTGCCATGTTTTTCTTTAAGGGCTGAGGAGGAAAAGATGTGATTTTTCTTTAAGCTCAGGGGTAGTTGTTATAGTTACTGGGTTA